TTACATTATATTATGTTATATTTTATTTTGTACAATATACTGCATTACAATAACAATATGTAATAATAATCTTTAAAAGCCATTTCCTGTGTCCTATTTGTCAATCGATTGTCACATAAATCTTGGATATTGTATATGAAATATAATAGACCTTTGCACGGTTGACGGTCACTTTGTATGGTCAAGCATTAAAAGCGCGAAACGCGGACACTTAGTACGGTCTAGTAAAAAGGTACTCTGCAGAACGCGAACACTTTGTATTATTATAGTATACATAAAGTATATATTATAAATATAAGTTTTATACCTAAGTAGTAACTAGTAATTATGAATAGTATTAATTATTAAAATAGAAAAAATAAAAATAAAATTGTTATAAAATATTGTTTAATAATAATTATAATCTAAATAATTAATAATATCATGTAAAAATGTGTACAATATATATATTAAAAAATTTAAAAAAATGTTAAAAAGTAGTATAATATAAAAATAGTATTTAGATGTAATGGTTTTAGATTATTAATTAATAAAAAAAGTATAATATAGAAATATGTCAAATGACAAAAAAAAAAAAAAATATAATACTGAAAAAATAGTTAAAAACTACATGGAAAGTATATGGAATTTAAAAATTCAATATTTTGTTAATTCTTTTTTTTGATGGTGGTTACATAAATTAAATAGTTTATTATTGTCAACCGTATAAGATTTTTGTCTTTTCTGAAGTCTATTGCTACATTCGTCTAATTGTTTTGCATATTTGACATATTTCTATATTACACTATTTTTATTTTTATTTTTTATTAGCTAATAATCTAAAAACCATTACATCTAAATACCATTTTTATATTATACTACTTTTTGACATGTTTTTAATATTTATATTGTACACATTTTTACATGTAGTTTGATGATAGAATGATATTATTGATTATTTAGATTATTATTATTATTATACAATATTTTATAACAATTTTATTTTTTATTTTTCTATTTTAATAATTAACACTATACATAATTACTAGTTACTTCTTAGGTATAAAACTTATATTTATAATATATACTTTATGTATATAATAGTACAAAGTGTCCGCGTTTTGCAAAGTACCTTTTTACCCGACCGTACAAAGTTTCCGCAATCTTCAATGTACGTTTTTGCCAGACCGTACTAAGTGTCCGCGTTCTGCATTTTAAACAATGAACAGTACAAAGTAACCGTTTACCCCTTTGCACACATAGTTTTTAAAAAAAGGTTATACCACATTTGCGCGTGTTTTAAAATAATTTAGGTAATGTATTATTGAACTTGCTATAAGAATTTATGTAAACGAATTGCAACCCATTTCCACTTAACATATAGGTGAATCATCGCATTTATAGAATTGTTAATTTATGGTATTAAATTATTAGTTAGTACTATAATAATTTTTTTATTGATAATAATCCTCGTTATTAAATGTGAATTATATTATATTTATTACGCAGTGTTTAATTGCCATACAACCTCAAACGCTGAATTATTACAATTTATTGTACACCATAGTTATCTAAAGACAAAAACGTCCTTTATATTCGGCACGTTTTATCTTTCAACCCGCCGAATTCGCTCTCTATCTAATTGTCTAAGATAATAATATAACAACGATCTTGTATAATAGGAACGTGATTTATTATATGTTTATAATATAATATGAATAATACGAAGCAACAGTAGTGTGAAATAATATTTGTATTTCAAAGGAACTATTTTACAAAAGTCTTATCCAAATTTTAAAAACCTGTTTATACAATACACATAATTTAATACCATTTATTTTAAGTAAGCATCTATAATTTATAATCAATGATAATACGTAAGTACAATATATTCCAAGTACGTTCTGCTGTCAAGGTGTTTTAAATTGACGGCATTTGTATATAAGAAATCTGCGAATAATATGGGTGACTGCAGATGTGTATCCCACCTTTACGATCCACCCAAAACGTAATCTTTTGGAAACCGGCGGTGTGTTAAGCCGACTTGGAATTAGTCTTATAGTGGATTATTCAAAACGTATTTCGTACCTAATTTAGACCCCTAATCCTAGATTATAATAGAAATATCGATATTTGAAATTTCAATTGAAATCATGTTAAAGTCATATTTGTATTTTTTATATTTCTTAAATTATAATTTTATTTTAGTTTAATATTTTTTTCTTTCTAAGCAAATTAAACAGTTATTTAAAAAAAAAAATATCCATTAACATTAATAGATTTTACTGTTTCGTTTTTCTGTGTTTGATACAAAATTTAAATAGTTCAGTTTGGTTTGAGTCTCAATCGTTTCATAAATTAAATTACAAATAAAAAAGTTATTGAAGTTATAGCTTAAAAATAATTACAGTATTTTTGTTCGATTTTCGTTTAATAAGTAATTAATAGCTTTTTAATACAACAATAATAATGTTAAATAACATATTATTATAAAATTAATTATGACATATTGACATTTTTAACACAAAAGTCATTTAACTAACAATATATTGTAATGTTATATATTCAATTACCTAACATTACTTATGGTTTAGAAAATGTACAGTTTTGACCATGAAAATGTATTTATTATATAATTGTTAATAAGCCATTTTATAATACCGTTTCATTTAAAACGTGTGCACTGTGCACATGCGATCAGTCGATATTACATGTTAAGCCATTTATGATTATTTGGAGATAGCCTAAAGTAATTACTAATAGTCATAGCTCTTTTTAGGCATAATTTTTGTCAAACATTGTAAAGGAATTAAGAGTAACATTCAATATTGTACGCTGTGCATATAACAGTATGTGCCAATACAATTTATTTTAATTAAATAATAATATAATACTTATACCTTATATTATGGCTCATTTCAATAAGTGGCTATTTTATATGACTAAATTGTATCATTTTATGTATATTTACTAAGTTATCATTCCAACATCAGCACCCCGATAAATTCATATTTTATCATGTTTAGAAAGTACTTAAAAGCATAAAAATAAAATAATATATAAGACAACTATTTTTATGATATTTAAAAACATGTCTGGCCATTTAAACATTTTTATTTAGAAATAATAATTTTACTTTTGAATATCCAATATTGTCAACATTTGAACTTCATTATTTTTTTTTTTAATTTCAGTAACAATAACATACGACGTTATTATTATTATTATTATTATTATTATTAACTTTTGTTGATAAAACTAACGACTTGAGTTAGTTTATTCAAATAATATGACACACATAATTATTAAAATTTGAATAACTCAGGATTAAATATCATGTATACTTAGTGTTAATTAAAACATAATAAATTATTTAATATCATAGTGAGTTGATGTTATAACTAATAATGATATGAATTTATATTTTCTTATCGTTTTTATATAATATAGTATCTACGATACAATAAATAACATTATGAATATTTATCTACATTAATATGGCTACATATCATAGACATAAACTGACAGTATTTCAATTTAATACATTTAAAAAATATTTTGCATTTTTGTACTATTATATTTAAACTTTAAAGTATTTAAAAAAATACAAAACAAAGAATAACTGAAAATTGATGATAAAATATACGCGTCTGAATTTCATTAAGTACTTTACTAAATAATAACAATCTTAACGATGTTTTTCTCCGATACGTTTCTACTTCCTATACATGACAAAAGTATGCATAAAGTGTTCTTATCTATAAAGTACCTATCTATTATCTTCCACGTGCCGTCGCAAACTAAGCCAACAGATGTCTAGTCTCTTGATTATATTTACAGTTTATACAATATTATTAGTAATATAGTATTTAAAAAACTTACAGTTTTAAAATGAAATAATATTTTCAAGATGCCATATTAATACTAGAATTTCTTTTTACATATAATTTTGTAATTTTCATTAATTATTTAATTTATTTTTCAAATATACTGAAAAAATAAAATATTTTGTGTTTCTGAACAATGTGTTTTTATTGTTAACTAGATTAGTACCCAAATTAGATTTATTTTACACTCCGTATTTGAAATACGTAAGGTAGGTAATCTGTTTTGCGTATTCTTGCTTATAAGTGTGTGTAGTAAAAAAAAATCAGACAATTTGCAATTTCTACATATTAAAGTCATGAAAATAAATAAATTTAAGAGTTAATTTTAAAACCTTTAATTTACTATTAAGCAAATTATTGTAATCAAGTTTATTGAAAAAAAAAAAAATGATTTTATATTTGTATTTTGATTGTTATATTAGTTCACAGACCCGTCTATAATATCGGTAATGATAATAAACTATTGTTTTTAGTTAAACAGTTGTACTTAATATTATGTATTTTATGTAGTACGAAATGTAACAATTTAATACCCATATAATATACATGTATGATATAATTATTATTCATATTTTTAAAATGTAACACATATACGGTCATTGTACTATTTTGAATTTTCCATATTAATGTGTAAATTAATATTTTAATATAGTACATAGTCGAAATAATTAGCGAGATGATTTATTGCTATTGTGACCACATTTCCGAGCTTGTTCTTATTTATATTGTCCCAATATTATATTAATTTGCAATGGAATTAATTACCAAAAATATTTTCAAACATTATAATATACTCGTATTTTATTTATTGCATGCTGTACAGATATAAATAATTAATACATATTATAGTATTAGTTTCATAAATACAATCAATACTTATTTATACGGTAAAGTATTATAGAGTAATATAAGTAAATTTTAAGTTTTGCTTGTAAATAAAATCATTTCAAACCATCATGATGTTTATTATACAATAGAATAGGTACTAACTAAGTTTTAAAAATTATATCATATGTTAACAAAAGGGTTAGATCATATGCTTAATAGCATGTTAACATGGTAAATAAATTATTAAATATTTATTTTAAATAAATAAATTTAGTAAATAAATAAATAAATAAATAAATAAATAAATAAATAGTAGAATTTACTATTAGGCTGTAATTATTTGAAAATATCAAAAGATCCATAACTCGATGGTCCTAAATATCCGTAATTTCCTCCATAGTTGAAAAAACCATCATTGATACTGCTGTACAATCTGGAAATTCCATATTTTGGTATTCTATACAAGTGCCCATATTTTCCAACGTAACCGAGTCCGTATTCAATTCCTGGGAAATCTAAATCTATATCTAAATCTAAGTCCGTATCAATATAGAAATCTAAATTAGTATCTAGATCATCATCTAAATCGAAATCTAGATCAAAGTCGATTGATGGAATGAATATAGGGGTGTATACATGATATCCAGCAGCGTATTCGGGTAAGAATAATGGTGATCCGCCACTAGAGTGACTGTAACTATAACTATAACCTGGACCGTGAGCTGATTGGCTGACGTAACTGTATGAATTTCCACCATGATCTACAGTTAAAACATAAATTATTACAATTCATTATATGCAATATCTGATTTTTAACAACTAAGAGATCTATACAACCAAAACTAAAAAAGTAACAAATAATATTACTACATAAAATTATTGAATAAAATTCAAAATTATTTCGTCCAAATGTTAGAAATGTTAATATTTTACAGAAACTCGTAGATAGATTTAGCACTATTCACTATATGCATAAAGCACTTTTTCGAAGTTCTAAAAACTATAAATTCACAGTTATTATTAGATACAGTTTTTTACATTTTTATTGATAAAAATAATAGATCAATAAGTAAGTTATAATATTATGCAAATTATTAATTATTTGATGAAAACATAGTCGAGCGTAGGAATTTCTTAGTATCGAAATGTGTGTAATAAATTTAAAATGTTGGTCATTAAACTGATGTGCTTTTAGGATTATCTTATTCGGAAGGTGCTATTTATTTTTTTCGTTTTACGCTATAATGAAGTTTTACCGAGCATTAAGGGCGTTATGTAAATTTAATGAATAATCGCCGGGCTGAATTTAAGTGGATTATAATTAACCACACAATAATAATATTAATCCGTCCGTTAGTACGGGGGTGGGGTATTAATTTAAATCAAATTGCTCTACAACAGCTGATGGTTGAACGCGTTTGTCGTTAATTCTGTGTTCAAAGAATAACTTAGGTAAACGTATATGTAAGTAACTACATTGATGCATTAAAAAAAAAAAAAAAAAAATGATTTAGAAATACTTAAAACTCACGTGAAGAACTGCGACTGTAACTAGATTCTGATTTATGGCTAGACTGTTGGTTGGAAGAGTGGACGAACGCAGTTGACGCGCTCGTTCCGACAATCAAGAGAGCTGCGATTTGTTGGAACATCATTGCAGTGACTCAGTAGTGATTTGATTGAAATCCTCCAGATCAGCGGATATTTATCTGACACCTAGACCGGAAGTGCCCTCGACACGGGCTCAGTGAAAACGCGCACAAGGTCGTTGTTTAGCGTACCTGCGTGTATTTGTTATTGTTGCCGTACGATCATCCCAATGCCGTTCGATGCGTCTGAAACGGTTCGTTGACCAATTCGATTGATCGTTCGCGTTCATCCGAGTAAGGTTTTCAAAACTCACACAAATGTACGATAATAGCATATTTTCATCGTCGTTTTCGTTATCGTTTTATCGTTGCGATTTCGACGTAAACCGGAACACATTTTCCGGATTGATTTTGGTTCACGAGACTATCGTTTAATTTGTCTTTGTTACTTATTTATATGCTGACAGTGGCGTCAACCTGATGATTCTAAAACAGTACCATAACCACATAGTCTCAAGTAAAGTTTATGATCGTAATTGTATTATAAATATTTCACATGTAAGTACTATATTATATTATTTAGATGTGGGTGGTTAATATTTTACTAAATAGAAGAATTTTAATGTAAAACAGTATCTCTACTGAAGAAAAATGAAACAGCTATAGTTTTTTTATTTTTATTTTTAAATCATTTTGTTACTAATCAAAATATTTTCAGACTGATCGCTAAAAAATTCAATAAAATGTCTAGTTAAAATATTCAAAAGCAAGTAAATATTATTTTATATTTATTTTCAATTTCCCTAAATCAGGATTTATACTTTTTTTACTCAGTATAATATGATTGGTTCTTTATCATACATTTAAATTTAATATCATGTCAAATTACTGTGAAATGTTAACTTATTCGATAAATAATAAATATACAATACATACTTAATAACTTTATTTTATATTATCGTGTATTTATCATTTTTATTTAATAATTTATTATTTTTTTTAAATTTTATACACTTATAAAAAATAAAAAAAATTCTACGTAAAAATATGATACATATGATAAAAATTACATTTTTATTTAACCTTAATTTGTGTTCATGAATCCTTCGCAGCAAACATTTTAAATTAATTATATTTGAATTTTATAAAAATTTGAGACAGAACCTATGTTTACATCTCAAAACTAAAACTTTAAATAAATATTTTAAATTTTCTCATAAATACTTAATATTTAATTTTGTTTACCATATACGTACCTACATTTAAAAACCTAATTAAAATTGCTTGTAAATTAAATAACAATTTTTTTCTTTTCTTTATTTTTCATTGACATACAATTGTTGTCTAAAAAATCACAATATACAATATTATATTAAAATAATTTTTAATATTCTCATTTATATTTAATACCAGAATCAAAAAATAGTAAAATTGAATACAGACCATCCATTGTTTTGCTCTTCTATACTCACGTACGAGCACATAAAATACAATTTTTATTTTTAAATAAGACAATAATAGTTACAATTTTATGAAAAAAAATGCTGCAATATATTTGGTTTAAACTCAGTGAAATTAAAAGAACAATCTTCAAGTGGCCCTCAAACAGTAATAGGAAAAACGAAACAGTCCTAAACAGATTAAGAATAAGACACACAACATTTACACACGGCTTCTTAATGGCCTAAGAAGAACTACCAATTTGTCTCACATACGGAACACAAACAGTAAAACACATATTAACTGAGTGTTTAAAATACAAAGAGCTCAGGATAAAAAACGATCTGCCTAAACAATTATCAGATATCATAGAACCCGACAAAAAAATCAAACTTAAAAGTAATAAATCTTCTAAAAATGTTCGAATTATTTAATTTAATTTGATATAGTAATAATTCAGTATAAAAAATAAAAAAAAAATGTAAAATTTAATCTACACACTAATAATCTTTGTTGTTGAAGCGTTATTTTTTTCAATAAAAAAAAATATAATATATATCTACCTAGTTAAATTCCAAAAATATTTAATTATTTTACATTTTTTATTTATTATTATTATTATTATTAACTAAAATTTATTATCATGCAATTTACCTTTAAAAAACATGAGTTTAAATCCGTATAGTGATATAGGTTATATTATATTTTATTTTATATGTTTATCACGCATACAATTTACCAAGAATTACCATAACATTTATAAATAATAATATAAAAGATGGTAATTAAATTAAATTGATAGATTGATACTATATTTGATTTATTCACTAGTATAAAAATTGTTTTTATTTAGAAAAATGACAAAATGTTGTTTATGAAAATGGTTTTAAACTCTAAAATGGTTATATAAGCTGATTTAAAAGCATTATTTATATTGTACACTATAAAACTTAATTTAAATATTTAAATCTTGAAACACTTAGCTTAATTTGTGGTGATTAAAAAAACATGTTAAAGAAGCTTAAAATTGTTTTCAATGAATAATGGATAAAAACAATATTAGAACTTTAAAAATGTACCTAATCATTGAAAGAAACATTCAGAAAATAAATATTTCTGGAAAAATTAAATCAGTATTTAACGTATTAATTTTACAATTGTTTTTTTTTTTTTTTTTTAATTGATCTTTTTTTATTTTTTGTTATTGATATGGCCATTAGTTAATATGATGAAAAAAGAACAAACGAACTGTAAAGAAAATTAAATATTTAATGTTAATATAGATTAATTTACAAATACCGCTGATTAATACTATGAAAAAAATTTGAAACCTAAACTTCTATAAAATAACAAAACTATATAAATGGCAATTATTTTGTAGTAAACAATTTTAAAATTTTTAAACTTTATAACTAATATTTGAAGAATTAATATAATGCTCTACATTATGCAGTTTATACTAAAACTAAAAAATCAAATTTAATCCAAATCATAATATACTGAAAATAATATTTATCTTTTAAAATTAAACAATTCAATTGTATTACAAACTTATTTATTAAATGTAAGACTATCAATTTATGTTTTGGGTTATTTTTTATTTGATTAAATAGTTTTTAAATAATTTATATAAAATAATAAATGATTATTTATTTATTTATTTTTTATGCTATTATTTAAATTTAATGTGAAAAAACACTCTTTATATTTTAATATATTTTTAAAGTATCTAGTATTATTATGTGGTTTTAAAATTTTGAAAACAACTTTATGTTTTAATATTAACTAAATTTGTAATGTCAAAATTTAATTTTACTTAGTTACTTATTCAAAACATAAGAATGAAACTCAGTATTAGATTCTAAGTGAAGAAATTAATTTTTATGTTTCATAATATTGTGATTGATTTTTATTTAAATACACTTTACCGTAGAACAATAAAATTTCTTCAATAGCTTTTGCTTTAAGTGTAGCTATTGATGATACAAACTTTTAATTTAGAATATTTTTTATTGTATTAACTATAAATATTTAAAAATATTACATGTGATATCGTATTAGTTTTCCTTATTGGAATAAAAAAAAAAAAATAATAGTCATTATAGACGTGTTTATTTTTTATGAACATTAGGTAAGTAAGCTAAAATTTAAACGATATAAGATATTTAAATGTTTAATATATTAACGATTTATATAACTTAAAATATGACTAAAAATCAATTACTATTTGTTATATTATTGACATTTATAAAATATCTTAAGAAATACATACGTTAGAATATTGTTAATTGAATTTTTTCATATCGGAATTCTAATAAATGACGTGTATAAAGCATTCCGATCACATGGATGTGAATACCACAGTAACCTTATCCTAAACTAACACACAATTCTATTCAACCACAAATTTCTCTGAGTTAGCTAATAATAATAAATCACCACAAATGTTAATAAGATTGGTGTTGTAAATAATTGAAAAAATCTTTCACCCAGTTTTTTTTTAATTCTTATGAAATAAAATCAATTTTGAAAGGATTTTAAATCAATGAATAATTACACGGAAAAAAAAAATTTAGTTATAGTAAATAGTTAGATAGTTTCTAGTTGGTGTAATAAATAATTTAGTTGTGTCAAACAATATGTTTAGTTAAAAATACTAAAATGAATTAGTTGAACAATTATAGTCAAACCAACTTGCTTTATAGTTATTGCAACTATATAAACTAGTAATTCAAATATAACCATACGAAATGGTTGGTGTACAAATATTAAACAGTTATAGTAACCATAACCATGGCGCAACTTTCCCACCTAATTCAAAAGTTAGAATTTTGTACAAATAATAATAAGACTTATGAAATGTCAAATGATTAAAATTTGGTTTAAATACAATTAAAAACATTTGAACATTTCGAATAACTTTTGTCACGTTACACATGTGATAACTAATTCAAGGAAAGATAGCTTGCATAGGTACTTCATGATGTGTTATTAATTATTATTATATATTTTAGTATCTAAATGGCATATTATAGTGAATCTAATGCCTACTTATATAGTTCCAATTAAACGATATTCGTAAAAAAGGGTTAATCGTTTACACGTACGGATATGTAATTTCAAATAATCTAGAGTACTCGCTATTAAATCGAATTCCATGATTTTACAATCTTCCCAATAATCGTGATTTTTGATTTTGTATAAACATATACATGACGTGTTTAAAGAAGTTCCAGGACTTGCTACATTATTATTACAACTTATAAGCATTATTATAAGTTTACAATATTGTCATCGTCATTCGTTTGTGGCCTGTGTTTGCGTCTGCATCTGCTTTTGTGATCAGATGTGTAAATATATGATTTGTATTTTTATTATTTTTTTTGAATATTTTATTATTAATACATTTGATGCTAAATCAACTACCTAATATATACTATTTATATTTTTAATTATTTGTTTAATCTTAAACACAAAAACAAATTAAAAGTTGAATAATAAAATAAAAATATTAAGATTTAAAAAAAAAATTAATTTGCTTAAATAATTAATTTCGCCCTATCTGACTAATCTGATAGGTAGTTAGGTAGGTTAAGGCGTAGGACTTTTATAGGGTTTAGGGACATCTAGTCCAAGTTCAATTCCCAAACTCGAAACAATCTAGTTTTTGCATTTTTTTCATATTTTTGCAAATACTTTTTAACCACAAAAATATAGTTATTTTAACTATAATAACTGGTTAATTCTACTATTCATTATAGTTAAAATTTTAACTATAATTTTATAGTTGCATTTTTAACTACTATTTTATAGTTATTCCAACCATGTAGATTCAACTAATTCATTTTAGTATTCCCAACTATACATTTATTGTGTCACTATATTAACCTGAGATTATGGTTGGGTTAATCATTTATATGGTTGTAACAACTATAATTTTTTTTCCGTGTATTTAATTCTAAATAAAACGTTAACAAAAAAAAAAAATAGATTATATTTGTGTAGGACCTACACTGTAGGTATATAAATATATATTAAAGCATTTTGATAAAAATAATTGTTTCCATAATGTTATTAGCATTATGAAACATTTCATTTTTATGTAGCATGTATATTCACCATAGATTATAAATGAAAATATAAGATAATTGTTTGTGTTTACACTATGTTATATCATACATATGCATAACAAACACATATATAATAATATAATATTTTAATTATAAATGCTGTTGAAGGAAACGTGAGTTTCAAAATAAATCGTGTCAATGACGAAACATTTTCAACTTAATTTAAATATTTCATCGATTCCATTATTCTTTATTTTAAGTTTTAAGTATGGATAAGGGCCAAGACTAGTTATTTAAAATCAAAAATGGCTCGATTTATGTTGATTATTGATTCACTACTTGTATGAAAATATAGTATTTACCTAAACTAAAAGAAATTATTTTAGTACCTACAATTTAAAACGTATAATTTATAATTTTCAATATAGTTTTATATCATACAATATTGGGATCATAAAAAATAACATATCTTAAAATATTATTACAGCTGATATTAAACTATCTAATAATTATAGAATTGTGCACGTATACAAATCTTACAATAATGAAATTGAATCAAATGAATCGATTGTATTTACTATTTTATCCTTAAGTATTTAAAAATAATATAAAATAATAGGTAGGTAGTATTAGTTGAATGTATTTTATTATAAAATTAAAATAAAATCAATTCTCATCAATGTTTTCATACATGCAAAAATATAGACGTACACATGATTATATAATATTGTATATAATATTTAAGAATACATAAAAAATATATTTTTCATATAATTATCATATTATTTTTACACTGGAAAAAAGTTTTTAGGTCATGTTTGTGTGTGTGTGTGATTTCTTATCATACAAAAATAAGTTAAATTATAAAAGTTTCTTCGTTATAACTTTCGATAAAAACGTGTATTTTTTGTTTGATTCATGTCGTATGCATTTACAGTAAAAAAACGTTCTATAGAAGCTTAAATAAAGTTTGTGAGCTTTTATTCACTTTTGAATGTATATTTTACAATTGTATCAAGTACTCTATATTCATAAGTATATTTTAAATATTATGATGGTAATATTCATTGCGTAAATGGATTCAATAAGAAAAAAAAACACATGTATACAAATACATAAAGTATATTTGCTCGACATTCATGTCATTTTTGACGCTTCTATAAAACAGTGTAGTTAAAACTCAAAATTTTTGTTTCCATTAAAACATCCATTTATACACACTATTAAATGGTATTCTCTAATGACTAACGGCTGTCGTGTATCGATTTCAGTTTTCTTTAAAGACTCTCGTTTTCACAGTTAACTGGGCACAATGCTTAAGTGAATATCCAGTATTGACCTTGGCCTGAAAATAAGTACCCACTATATTTGGTAAATGATTCTCCGCCATCAACGTGCCCTTATTTTCACACTATCGTCCAGTGAACGATTTCACAACTTCCTGTAATTATAACGATCGCCATTTCGTTCCGATTACCAGTACTACTCAGTTACATCACTTGCTGTTGGTTTTATTTTTCCGGTACAAAAATAAAAGCAACAAAAACATCGTAGTCACGATACTATGCGACCGATAACGTGACATAATATTGGGAAATTCGTGTGTAAAAACAAACCAAAACCAAAAACCAAAACTTTGTACAATTAGTGTGATACGGTTCATTTCATGCACTGGAGGTGGAACATAGCGTACATATGTTGAGGATTTATTCGCTAATCAAAATGACAGTTTACAAATGGTGTTTGTGTCAAAAGCATCATGTGCATCTTAATCAAAATCGAATTTTCGTCATGAATACTTATATGAATGTGTATAACGATGGATACAAAACGATTGGTAAGTAAAAATAAGAATACATTTTAAATTTTGTATAGAACTAATAATATTATGTCATTGTGATCATGAATAATTAATTATTTTTAAAATACATTTCTTAAATTGGTACTATATTAAACTAACGTAAAATACATACAAAATTAATTTTATTTAAAAAACGTATCATGATAATATATTACTATTATTGCTAATTGAAAATTTAAATGAACATAGCTTTTAAGGTTTTTGTCATGTATAAAGTTTTTTTTGTACGTTTTTACGTTTTAAATAATTTTTTTCCTAATTTCAATATAAATATTTATATGCACGTTAAGTGCTAATACTATAAATTTGAGTGATGATAAATTTTGTTTTATTTATTTTATAAAATCAATATGGAAATATTTCTGATTTTTATTAGAATCTAATTATTTACCGAATTAAATTGTAACAACTATACAACATTATGTAGTAGAAAATAAAACCATTTAACGTTTTATACTTGTTTTTTTAGTCAATTTTTATTTACTTATGATTTGATATAGTTGAACATTTTTTTTTTTTTTTTTTACCAAAAGTAATCCGTATCTAACATTTTATATACTATATGCTTTACAATTAACTTTTAAATTGAGACATTTATGCAATTATTATATTTTTAATCCTTTAATATTTGCAAAGAAATTATAATTTGTTTTTCAACAGCATTGAATAACACTTAGTCTGTTGTAATCGTTGTGTGATTATTTTTATATTTGCATTACTCTTTAGTGTTCACTTACTTATTGGATATATCTATCATAAATATCACGTTGACATGTTTTACAGTTGGCTTTATTCTGGTTATCAGCACTAGCGTGCGGCCGAAGATTAAACGAGTACAATAAAGAAAACAGTACAAACGAGGACTTGCCTATTACATCAATTGACACTCAAGACGATTTCGACTCTCGAAGCTATGGATTTCAAGGACCAGAAATGGATTCTCCAGATGGATTTATACCTGAAGTATCTGATACATGGATTCCTACAGATTCGTCAAATTCAATGGCTAAACAAATTCATGATTCTGATATTGTTGATTACGGAGAACCAGAAAATCCGGAACAGCTAAGTGAACCGGAAGAGATGGACTCATTAGAAAGACTTACTGAATCAAATAATAATGAAAATTCTAAAGGTGGCAATGGAGATTTCGAGCAAGTTAAAAAAGTAAAAGAGGTGTCGTCGATAATCTCGTTGAAACCAAAAGAACATAATAGATCACTAGATCCAATAAGTGATCAACAAGGTCGTTCTCCTATGAGAATCATACGACCTATGAGAGATTTGAGTATAATTGTCAGAAATCGGCAACATCCTGTATTAATTGCCCGTCAAATACCTGTTCATTGGATACATCGCAACCATCACCGTCCACATAAACCACCATATCCACATAAGCCTTTGCTTCCACATAAGCCAGCACATCCACACAAGCCTGTGCATCCACATAAACCTCACAAACCTCATAAACCTCACAAACCTTCGAAGCCTAAACACAAACCATGTAAACCATGTGATCCTAAAGTTCATAAAAAACACAAGCCAAAAAAACCAAAAAAAAAGCATAAAAAAGATCACTGTCACCATCCCACTCCGAAGAAACCTCATCATAAACGATTATTATATTATGCTCCTGTACCTACTTATTACGGGCCACATATTCCGGTTAAATTGGTCAAACCAAATACTAGTTATTCGGTAAGCGAAAGCTTAGAGCACGATGATGTAGAAGCTGATACTGAAAAACCGTTTAATGAAGAAATTGAAGAAGACGTAGAAGAGCATAGGTTAGCAGAGTTGAGTGAACCTTTTGAGGAAGAGGTTGTTGACGAAAGTAAAGTAAAATCATATGAAAATTTTAAAGAGTAAAATTTTATACATTTTTATGTATGAAAAAATTAATCAAATTTGCAATCAAAGTTTAAATCGAAGTTATTGAAGTACGTATATATATATATATATATAATATTTTGGTAGACACGAATCTCATTTAACCATCGACAAAACTTGAACATTTAAACATACTTTAAACGTTCGTAGAATACATAATATATCATTGACAGAATAATTATATACGGTGTAATTTCATAATGGATGTTTAGATAATTTGCATATTTTTTTATTATAATTTATTATAAGATTAGATTAAATTAATATTTTATTTATGTACGAGTATCATGTTTGTGGTCTGTACAGACAAAACAAGTAATCCCGAAACATAATGGTAGTTTATCAATAATTTTTCTAAACGTGATATTCATCTATTCGTCTACATTGTTTGTGCATACAGCTGCAAAAGTCTATCATACCAGCATAACGATTAGTTATACAGTTAATTTTACGAATAATTTAGTTAAAACTCGTGTTGTCGAGTTACGCATTATCCATAGTTTAAAGTAAAGTTGGAAAAAAAAATAAAATAAAAAAAAACACGTTTTTATTGTTTAAAACAGTTATAAAAAATTTAAAATATGTTTAACATTTGAAATTGAAAAAAATTCAATGTAATTAAAAATTTCGATCAAGATATTTTTAGGCGATATTAGCAACACTATTATAAATAGATTCTTATCGAGTCAATCATAGAAAAATTGTTTCATTTAAAAGAAAAGCTATCTTATGCTTAGTAGGGGAGAGAATTGGCACTCTCCCCTTTTAAACCCATCACTAGATGTCCTTGAATTGAAAAAATATTTTACAATTCGAAAATACGAATATTTACGGACATCATTTTAAAGTTTTAACTTTTTCCTTTCTGCTATAAATTTCTTGAGAAAATAAACACCAGGTTGTTTCACAGATTGAACAAAGTCATAAAACATAAATTAATTTTAAAAACGAATATAATAATGTGTGATCCGAACAAAATAAAAATGTTTAAGAAAATTAAAATTAAGCAATATAATTTTCTTTTTCTTTTTTTCTTTTAAACGCTCGTTTTGTTGTCGTTGTTGTTTTATTCAGTTGTTTTAAATGATTACAACAAATTGAAATTTGTTTTATTTAGTTGTTTTAAACATGTTTATAAAACACGCGCTTAAAACAAAAAAAAAAAAAAAACTCCAGTTTAAAGTGGCTCAAATCGTTGGTTCGGCAATCGCCGGGAATCGATCGATGGGGCTGATCTCTGTATAGGACAATCGTTATTACTCTACGTATATGGCGTTACAATTTTATTATGTCGGAGGTTGTAGTAAGGAATTGTTTTCGCAAAGAATAATATTTGAATTCGAAACGATCGCTCTTTGCTATGCGAGTGACGTATTTATTTTTTTAATTGCACATTAATAATATTTATAATAATAATATCGTGATATGGTTTTACATAATATTATAATATTTGTATTACGCTTTTTTTTTTTTTTTTTCACTTCCATTTCCTCACATCACATAACACTCTACGCGCACGAGCGGTGATATCATGTGACGTGTCTATAACTTATTTAATGTTCGTGTGTTTTTCGACGTTTTCATTGGTGTGGTTTTGTCGGCGGGTCGACCGCAGCGACGGCCGCGGGCGGCTGCGGCGGCTTGTTGGCTTCGATCGTGGTCGGATAGTACGTTCCTTGCGTGTGATAGAACGGATGCGGCACCGGCGGGCTGATGGGCTGAGCACCGGCGCTCGGGTAAGCAGGCGCTTGGCGGAGCGCGTGATTGAAGTTGTACGCGTTAAAGCCGCTGTAGCCGAACGGGTTGGGTTGCAGGCCGTACGCGTTTTGGTAACCGTAGTGCTGCGGATGGTTCACGTTGTACGGGTACTGCTGATTGACGTTGTACGGGTACTGCTGGTTCGCGTTGTACGGGTACTGCTGATTGACGTTGTACGGGTACTGCTGGTTAACGTTGTAAGGGTACTGCTGGAAACCGCCGCTGTATGGGTACTGGTTGTACTGGTTGTACTGGTTGTAGCCGGTCGCGGCTGTGTAGCCGCCGTACGGATATCCTCCTGCCCCGACACGCTGGTACGGTTGTTGTTGGTAGTACTGCAGCTGATTGTACGCCGCCGGTTGATAGCTGTTGTACGGCACTCGTTGGTAGTCGTAAATGTTGGCCGGACGCGGTGCCCCAGCTAAATACTTGTTCGCGTCTGTGAAGCAAAAAATACGCTTACGCGGAGTTCTAGACTTCATGCTGTCGTTTCACGTTCGTACCACGCCGACAGTCGTTAAACCGTGTACGATCGCCGTGATTTTTAAGAGCATTTTTGGCACGTCGTTGGTTTAGGATGTATATATAATATAATATCATAATATAATGTAATAATTTAAGCGTTCGGAATTCCGAACGGTGCGCGTTTAATCCTCTAACGCCTACAACGCAAAATTCAAAACTTTTTGACAACACCAATTTAAATATTTTAATACAGACAGGCGATAAATGTATAATGTGTGTGTATATATATATATATAAGATTTAGCAATTGAAAATTCGATTATCCGATAACCCGTTTGGATGAAAAGCAACAAGACGTGTAGAGGTTGTACGAGACATAGACAGATTGCACGTTTGCGTTTCAGAGTAAATTCAAATTTAAAATTTAACAATGCTTCAATCTCGATTACGTATATCTTATAAGACTAATGTCGGGTAAAACGGTTCATTTTTTTTTTTTTTTTTACTTTACCGCAAGCCAATTCATATCATTATTTAACCACGCAGTCTGATCGATGATCCCTCGGATGCCGTCATAGTCTATTTCTACTTCCTAGCTGGTCACATTAATTATCATCGAACAGTCATGGTCCGATCGATCTATTTTTTTATATTTTTCGAAATTTGAGCGCCTATAATACATCTCACTGCGCGTTACGGCTATTACAGGATCGAACGACGACTGACGTTATTGTATTAAACTGCGTACCGTTCTGTATCGGCGCAATCGTTAATGCAGACGATAAAACGATTTTCCGCAATGTTATTTTATTGTGTTATAAAAATTTTTAGAGAAATAAATTGGATTCAATATAGTGTAATACAATTTTATATTGTCAGAAAACAGCAAAGGTTCTATTATTATTAGAATTTGAAAGAAACGAAATGACGAAAAGACTTTCCGATTGAACCAAAACCAAGCGGCGTTTATATATTTTATTTTGACGAAATTAGTAAATAAAATTTCACCAAATATCAGTAGAAGAAGCCTATTGGTTTCGTAAAAATAATATTGATGGAAAGAAATTCAGTAGGTACAATTCAGTATTCTAGTACAAACATTATGCAATAAAAAAATGTTGTCTAAGCGTAATAAGCATCTGAGTTTTTTTTTTTTTTTTTACGTGTTTTGAATATTAACTGTCAGTAATATATTTAAATTGTTATTATTAATATTTACAATTTCAATATTATAAGGAAATAACCATATGCAACCACATATGATTGGGGACAATTGTCGCTCTAAAAACCACAGCTATCAAACCTTACAACACAAATGTTATATACATTAATCTACACATCATCTATATAATTATAAAATATTTATTATTCGTGTAAATTAAAATGTATTGAATTGATCAGTAGAAATTATATGTACACAAAATATTTCTCAAATTATGTTTTTGATTATATACATTTTTAAAAAACCCGGTGAACTAGATTTCCTGGAGTTATCAATTCATTGTATTGACGTAAACTATTTTACTAGGTAGGCATAGTGTTTATGTAAAATAATCTAAAACTTACTTAGATTAGGTATATTTTAGTTAACTAGTAGATAAAATAATAATTATAAATGACAAAGGAAATTGTATATAATTAAATTCACCTAATTTTAATTTAAACGATCATAAAAATAATTTTATAATTATTAACATTTTAAAATATTATTAGAAAAATCATGGGATAATCACATACATACCTACCAAACATTGATTTATTATTTTAATATTTGTTTTAAAAATATATGGATATTATAATGAGACAATTTGTAACAAATGATCACTAAATAAAACTGGTTTTGTTCGATTCCATGATTTCATATAATTATTTATTTATTTATATGAAATGAATTAAATATAACATAATATACATATATAGATATATTACTAGTAAATATAAGCATTTTTATACATCACATAAACCTGTAAAATTGGTTTATTCACGTTATTAAGGTAAGTGTTTAATATTTAAGTTCATAATATTTAGGTACCTATACAAGAATTGCTATTTTATTTTTTATCATGATTAAAAATTATAATTTATTATGTTTTTAGTATTATTACTGGAAATAATTTTTTTACTTATAAAATATTTACAATACTAGAAAAAGTATTTTTTACAATAAATGTATTATTGTTAAATCATATTTATGTGATAGATATAATATTTATTTTATATTATATTTTTAATTTTGTATAGTTTTATACATTTATCAAAAGTTATGTATTTTTTAAATAAAAACAAAAATATATTTCATTTTAATTTTTAACCTCACTATGATTTCTTTGTTTTATCCCATCGTTATTCTTTATACTCGCTCACCCAAGTATAATATACTTCATTACCTGTTTTTTTAAGCATATATAATTGTATTTAAATACTAAATGGAAATTATTATTAACGTATCTAAATTTGTTTTATAAATTGCTCATCTCAAATGTTTATTATGAAATTCGAATTATTCATTTTTTTTTTTAGTTTAAGTAAGTAAAAAGTTCTATAGAAATTTTAATCATTGTGACTTTTTAATCCTGTAGCAATTTTCCAAAATATATAAAAAAGTATAAATATATCAAATTTACTGTCAAAAATATAGTGAAATTCGTGGATATTATAAACCTACTTAGTAGCTTAGTGGAATAGTCACGATGAGTTTATAATAAAATGTAGCTTTAAAATTGTAATATATAAAAATAATTTTTAGAAAACTATGTATATAATAATTATGTTGGTCTTTATTATTTTCTTAATAAATTTAATTTTTTCTATATGGTAATTGGTAAGACATGATCAGGTTAATCCTATGCCTATAGTATAATCCTACATATTATTGTAATATAATGTAATACATTTTACATAATATAGATAAATAATCAACAAATGTTTGCCATTAAGTTTAAAAGATGTTAATACACTACTATGTTTTTTTTCATAAACATCAATTTATATTACAATATTATAGTGTCATGTTTACCTGTGATTTGTCCATAATGATTGTAAATAGCTTCTTTTTTACTTCTGGAGTCATCGGCTGTCACTACAGTTACAAATAATACTAAAGCTACCTAATAAAAAAAAAAAAAAATACAGTATTTGAACAATATAGAAACGTTATGAACAGTTTTAAGAAACCGTTCATCGAAAATAGCGCTCACGTAAAATGAAGACTTCATGATGAGATTCTCTCGTGAAGTAACGTTGATGACCTGAACGATTGTAAACTGTAACTACTAACTTTAGTATGACTTTCGGTCTTTTATATACAATATAGTGATTATAGCCATATAGATGATTCTAAGTAAAGTAGGGAATCGTTCAGGTATTATAATGATTATTATGGATAATTTATATCCAAGTCTAAGTAATATGACCAGTCCCGGATATTTTCAAGGTTTTTTGGCTCTCGGAGCTAATCGCATGATCTTTTCCATTCATTTAATTTAACAAAAATTAACATCAGACACTTAACATTCATAAATATGGCAAGATTAAAGAGAGTAATAAGTAATGACTAACTTCTATTTACGAATAAAATATGAAACGTGCAGCTTTGTTCAAATGAATTAAAAAAATTAAATAAATTGAAATTATATATACGAGGATCTATCGCAGTGTACGTGTTTTAAATATGTGTATAACTTTTAATTATATTGCTGAAGTTTAATCAATCGGTAGATACAATCTTCAAGTATTAATTAAGAAAACGTAGTTAATATCATAAATATAAATTGTTATATTTTACGTGAAATCCCAATTAAAATATTGTTTGACATTACTTTACACATCCAATACAATGTGTGTATATAATTTATTTCATTTAAATGATAACATAACAATATTAAATAAATATGATTTAGTTTAACTAATCAGATAATTCATTTTAAAATCTACATTTTAAGTCAAATGTAATTTAGTTACACAGTTATAATATATTCTAATATGTTAGTTTAAATTGTGAGATAAATTATATTTTCAATTGCCTTGTAGAGTTGGGAAATTTCATTGAAATTAAAATTTATAAACTAAAATATCACTAACATTTTTACATGCTATTGCGATATAAATATGTAATTCAAAGACTAATATATTTCAAGCAGTATTGTGCTTAGATAATTATTTTGTACCTACGTATAGATAAAATATCTGAACTCAAAATATATCTAGATATAGATAGATAATGATAAATTAAAATATATCTAGATATAGATGCAGATAAAATCAATTTAATCTAGATAGAAATGAGATAATATTTTTAATTTTTTTATAAATCCTGATTCTTAAAACACGGTTTTGTTAAATATTATATAAAAAATATTAATACAAATATGACTATTTATATTTTAGTTTAAATCACTAATATTTAATTGAAAAATATGCTTAATAATTTAAATGATTATGCCAACAACAATGTCAATACTTACACCATTTCATTTTCTGAAAAGGAAGACTAAAGCAAACTGGAGAGTAGAATACTTTATATAAATGTATATATTATTATTTAACTATTATCTCAAATTATAATATAAATATATATATTTTATTATACTTATAAAATAGATTTCAAATTAAAACTACTTATACATATATTTGTTAACATTTGAAAATTAAAATAATCATCACTTTGTTATGATACATTTTCTACGGGTAATGATAAATTAAATAGTTGTAATTCTCAGTGGTTACTGGTATAGGCCAGGTAATTAGCCGGTGAGGAGTAAGACTAATGATATATTCTTATTAATTATTAGTATTTTTAGCCTTGAATTATTTAATATCTATATTATTATCTGATATCGAAGATCATCGATTTAACTATTAATTTATTGAAGTGATACACGTTAGCGATAATATTAAAAAGATTAGGCACCTAAATAAATACACGATTCATGAAACTAAATATTGTATAATATTATAATATTATAATATTACGATGTTTGTATGTCAACAATCAATTTAATTGTATTGTATTTATTGTTTTTTTTCTGAAAATAAAAAAAAAACCATGACACTATACGTGTATTACTTATATATAGCACAAATTATTTAGAAAATATGATTATAATTTAGAGTAGATATAATATGGTAATAACTAATAACCTATAGTTATTGTTATTGTTATTAGTTAATATATCGGCTCATAAAATGTTAAAATCATAGTTCATAAATAATTTTTAAAATAATATCCGAAAACATGATGTTCGTATCTCGAGAATAACATACATTTATTAATTTAGATAACTTAGTTTTGGATGGCAGTGAGATACTAATTGTGTAATTTATCTAGACAAGATAATATATACAAGTGTTTTATCTAGATAAGGTATCTAAATAAATTTAACTATAGCATAACATTGATTTCATGACATCTTTCAGTATTATCAATAAAAGGCATATGCATTAAAAAAAATATGATATTAACTGTATAGACTCACAAATATTATATTATTATTACCCGAAAAATATATCTAATCGTAATTGTTGTTTGAAGAATTAAATAAGATAAATAGTTACTTTCTACAAACATATGTAAAAGTCAAATACAACAAAAACCTTCTGTTAATAATGATCAATACTTAAACATAATCACTTATAATCAGTGACGTAATATCAGTTTTTAGATTATCGAGGGGCGGACACCTGTCAAACATTTATTTTAAAGTACAATAAACATTTCTGTTTACTTAAGGTTATCCAATCTTATATACTTCTATTATTACCATAAAAGTAATAATTATAATCAATCGACTTTTAAGATATTTTGTAGATATTTTTTTACTTAATGCAAAAAATATAAGAATTCAAAAAAAATGAATTATGACACAAAATGTTATTATTTAATACAAAAATATTTTAAAATAAATAACTTAAACGCAGAGAAGAAAATTACTTTCATATTTTATATAGTTACATTCAATAACATTTTTATTATAAGCACAATAGTTATGATAACAAATTTATATTTATAAATTTATATATTTAAATTATTTTTTATTTATATATTCTTGAATTAGATTAAAAAAAAAAAATTAAAAAATCCATCTGATGACATTAAATGTATAGCTTATAATATTTTCTCTCGTAAGTCGTGGTTTTCATATTCAAATAATAATTTTAACTCTTGTATTTTGAATTTTCATCTTTATAATTTTATCTATTCATATATTTATACATTTTTCAAGAATATATTGATCCCCACTAAACAAAACCATTTGGGAAATTAAGAGTTCAAAATTTGAGGTAAAATATTTCAAATATATGGCGTTGTAATCTGAGGCTCTGTTAAGAATTAAAACAAAATAACTACAAGCTTTTTCTATACATCTGCCTACGGTTTATCACAGGCGCACTCTGGTTCGTCTTAAATGAGTTTTTAAGTAGCTTTCTATCGACGAAACTGTTGTTTTTCATTAAAAATGCTCCATACCAAACTGTAAGATAATCCCAACTAACTAATCAACCGAGTTAGTATCACTCACCCTTCTCGACAACCCAACTAGATGTCTCAAAACATAATTGTGCCGCGACTTAATATTTTAAGGATTATGTACTTATAATTTTACGAGGTGTCAAAAACTTTTCATTCCTTCATCATGTGTATAAACTCATTTTACTATCTGTTGATTATAAATATTACTTGTTGTACAAATTGTATAAATTTCTAGAAAATAAAGCCAATTAAAAAAAAAAAAAAATCAAAAATCAATTTAATATACATGTAAGTCACTCATGGCACATGTAAATCAAAATTTTGATTATAGATAAACTCCGATTTCTTTTATCAATTTATAAGCAATGGTAATTACAATTTCAGAACTTTTAACTTAACTATTTTTCTGAGAATTTAAATTGTAAGTGCAAATATAAAATATGAAAACGACACAATTTTTCAAGTTTGTTGTATCATTCAACGCCACCGCTATGAAACCTAATTTGAAACTACTTTCCAGAGAAACAAAAGTAAGATGTGGCATATATAAGACCCATCTTAACTTATGGATACAAGGCATATACTACGAACAAAGAGGATGACAATAAACTTATAACTTTGAAAGAAAAAGTGTTCAGAAGAATATATGGCCCATCCCACAACACTTCTACACAGCAACATGAAATTATAGTATTAAACACAATGAAGATTTAAGGAATCTATTCAAACATCCTAATGTTGTTTCCCTTGTGAAAAGTAAACGTATACAGTGGCTTGGACTTGTCTAGTGAGGAGGAGGAAGTAAAATGAAGAAAATACTTTACAAGAATTTAAATAAAAAAGACCTTATGAAAGACCATGACAGAGATGGCTAGATACAGTACTGAAGAATATACGAACCATTTGTGGTAATTTATGAGTGGGAGATGAAAAAGACAGGGAACGATGGAAAGGTACCTATATGGCTAGCAGATGTTATGACTAACCTCAACGAGCCGTAAGTTGAGGAAGAAGAAGATTACAATTTATTATTAATGCCATTATATATTAAGCCAATTTGTACCGTTTAAATACCTAATCCAAGACTACACTGTTGACTAACAAAGACTTAATACTGATACAGTATTTATTTTAAGTTGTATACTCGTATTTGTTTACAAGCTCCATTTATTATTTGGATACGGTCGGCACTGCGTCATGAACAATAAAATATAATACCTATATTATAATACTTACCAGTCTCAGCGGAAGTCATGGTAATAAACAAAGAAAATAATGAAAATAAATATAAATTTTCATAGTTTAAGACTATGCATCACATTATTATTATAATATAATTATTACGGTAATATTATTATCATTTTGTTTGTTATTTATGAGTTATGACAATCGTTATTTGTTTTCTTTGGTAGTGCTGTATGTACATTATAACATATTACATCCAAACGAATTACTGAATGAAAAATAATGATTTTATTTTTAAAATATATGGTGAATGATACATTGGAGTGATGTGTAAGAATATTGATTCCTGCAATATTTAAATTATTCAAAAAACCATATAATATCTAAATTCCTATCTATCATTAATTCTCAAAACAATATTGCCGGTCAATCAATTCCGTTCGCTGTTGAAATCCAAATGCCAATATATACGTAAAAATATTTATACAATAATACTATTTATGTATAATATAATGTTTAATCGTTGATATATAATTAGATTAAATTCAAATGGTAAGTAATCAGCCAGACTTTTATTGAAAATATTTCCGTTAAAAAGACAATAACATTCAGCTGATTTTCTTAACTGTAACAGAACTTAAA